GGAGGGTGCAACGTCGACGGACCCTGGGCTCTTGTGTCTTTTGTTACGGAGCTTAAAGTCAAGTTGCCTGGTCAGAACAGTAGCTCAGTTGCGGCTTATCTCTATGATGGTGATAGAAGCCTAGTGTTGTCGCTTAGATTCCTTCACAGGAACAAGGTTGTCTAATTCTATAATGGACTTGAAGTCTGGTAGTTTAGGGTTTAGGGTTTAGGGTTTTAGGGTTTAGGGGGGTTTAGGGCAGCCCTCTGAACGAGTTCTCATTAAGCCGGATCCAATCGGCCCTCGCGGCAATCAACATGGATCGGTTTGAGTCTTCAAGGTTCAGAAGATTGATATAGGGGCCGGAAAAATTGGCATAGGGTCTTGGGGTACAATATACCACGAACATATTAAGGACCAGGAACCGAAAGGATGAATATTGGTAAGGATTGAGGCTTCTATGTTAGTGTGTAGGTAGGGTTAGGAGTTTCGGGGATTAGGGCATTTTGGAAAGTAGAGCCAGAATGGCGTATGAGTCAACTGGAACATGTTTTGTTTTGCAGTGGAGGTTTGCAAGGTTGTCTCAAACTGACGAGATTCCACCAATTCAACCCTCTTTGTTTGTTAGGACCCATACTTGAAATCCTCAACCCCCAACCCAAAACTCTTTGCATAATCTTGCCGAGGTGCTGAAGGCCGTGATCTCCGAGATGCGATCAAGCCAGAATCAGAAGCCTGCTCCCAAGGACAAGGCTGGGTTCTGAATGCTTGATGTGGAGTTTGGGGCTGGTAGTCGTAGTAGTAGTAGTAGTCGTCGTCGTCGTCGTAGTAGTCGTAGTAGTAGTCGTAGTAGTAGTAGCAGCAGCAGCAGTAGTCGTCGTCGTCGTAGTCGTAGTAGTCGTAGTAGTAGTCGTAGTAGTAGTCGTAGTAGTAGTAGTAGTAGTAGTAGTAGTAGTCGTGGTAGTCGTAGGAGGAGGAGTAGTGCTAGTAGTAGTAGTAGTAGTAGTAGTAGTAGTCGTGGTGGTGGTGGTGGTAGTAGTAGTAGTAGTAGCAGTAGTAGTAGTAGTAGTAGTAGTAGTAGAAGTAGTAAGAGTAGAAAGCAGTAGCTGTTGCTATTGCTATTGCTGCCGGCAACTTGTCGGAAGTCGTCGTCGCCCGAGCGATTGCAGTGGAATCGTAATTGGCGTTTCTGTCGCAGTACTTGCGCCCTGCTTGCACCCAATCTATCAACTGATTCTTCTCTTGCCTTACGACAGTTCTGCTGCATCTTCGTGCGGTGACAAGTCAAAAGCTTTATCAGATCTTTATCATCACAAAACCGGAGTAGCTAAAAACCGAAAGACACGTGGAGGGCAAGCTCCAAATCTCTAATCCCAAAGCTCCCGCGCTTCCCCCCCCGCCCCCCCCCAAAGCTTCCCCCCCCCGAGCCAGCCTGGTTTCAGGAACTGGGCACCTACACGGTTCTCCGAAAGAACACCCAAGAACGCTACTACTTGGTCGAGGCCTTGCCTAGCTTGGTTGTCAGTGGAGCGCATAGGGAAACATTGGCAGGATTTGCGCATATTTGCGCCCGTGGATACGGACCCGACATGACAGGAACCTGCCAAACACGTGTGTTTTGTCACTTGCGAGTTCATGTGAACCTGCAAAACCCTTGAGACCGGAGATTGCGTTGGCTGTGGAGTTTTGGATTTAGGGCGCTATGGGTTTCGAGATTTTGGAACGCGATGAGACTTTGCAACCCATGAGGGGCTTGACAACCATACCATGTAGTAGCAGATCGTATGTATCTTATGTAACTATACATGAGTGGTTGCACATGGTCAAATCCGGCCACACCGCGCCTAAGACCCAACTAGTCGTGGGCCTAACATCCCAGATCTGCAACCTGTTAATCCGCTCCATAGTAGTTCCTTTTTGGGGGTTGCCTTATAGGATCCTAAATATAAACCACAAGAAGGAACCACTATGGAGCCTATGGGTAGTCCTTTCACACCCAAAATCTCACAGCTAGGCGACCTTCCCGGGCACGCGGGAGAAGCAGACGCTCAAGTGGCACCCAGGGGCGGTCTGTGGCCATGCTCAGACTTTTAGGGGTTTAGGGTTTAGGGTTCTTCGAGATTGGAGCACAACCCTAAACCCTAAACCCACCTTGCCTTTGGAGGGACCCCAAGCCAGAATGACACCCTCTCGATGCTTCCAGCTAGAAGCCATAAGCTGCAGCCTTCGAAGAGAGCTTGCCAGAGTCTCCTGGGTGCCACTAAACTTATTTTGGGTTTCCTGATCATAATCATACTATAATTGACGCCAACACCCCAGTCTACCAATTAACTAAGGCCCCTATATTACACCAGGGCCGAAGTCTGAGCAAACCGGGCTCACGGACCTCCTGAACCCTTCAAGCCAAGATTGAACAGCCTCACCTGTGCATCCAAAGACACCCTTTGCTTTTGGGTGTTAGGGGTTAACCGGTTATACCTGTAATTACTCGTCGGGTCGTAACCTGCTTTTTGTAGGTCCCGCTCCGTCTCCTTCTCCGCAGCTCGAGGGAGACTGCGGAAGTTTACTCCGGAACTGTTTGAAACGAGCGGTGTTTACAAAGCCCTTGACGTTCGGAAGATTCGGGACCCAAATAGATTTTGTGAACGCAATTGTTCGGATCCTTACTTTAAGGCTCCAGACGAGAAGCAAGGCCCAACTAATTCATTTTCAGGGATTTCCGCATAAACCCAACAAGCAGCCTTACTTGCTGAGGTTTTCCGGAGCGTCGCTAAGTTCTAATTCGCAGCGGCAGCCCCGATCCCTCAAGCTGTGAAGCTCGAAACGCGTCAGAACGGACCGGACAAAACAGACAACATGACACACACACACACACGCACACCAAAACAGGTACTTCGACCCAGCGGAGCTCCTCGGCGTGAAAGTTTCATGGAAGTTGGTAAAGGCTGTTGGAGTGCCGGGATTGAGGTTTAGGCACCACCGCCGCCGTGTGGATCATCATCTGGTCATTGTGGTCGTCATCACCACCAGCTATCATCATGATGATCGCCATGTCATAGCAAAACAAGCAATGGCAGCAGTAATTCGAGCAGCACGAGCAGCGGCTGCAAATAATCATCGTGGCAGTAGTAGTACCAACTACCATGTTAGCCAAAAGCAAGCAGCTACCTGTAGCAGGATCGTGGGGGACGCATCACAGGTCACAAGACCAGCAGTGCTATGTGGGGGCAGCAGCAGTGCTGACAATTCTCATCGCTCTAGTCTTCCTGAAAACCTTGAACCTAAGCCCGTCTGAGACGCCTTCGTCCGGTCGTCCGTCCTCATCCTCGTTCCCCTCCTGGACCTCCCACTCTTCGAGTCGTCATCATCGTCACACTATCAGTCATATCAAGTGACGACGACAACGACTACTGCTCCTGTTCCTGCTGCTGGTACTGCTTTCTACGACTGCTGAGACTACTGTTGCTACTACCACTCCTCCTACTACCACTGCTACTGCTACTGCTACGACTACTACGACTGCTGCGACTGCTACGGCCCGACGACGGCGACGACGACGTGACGACGACTACGACTACGACTGCGATTGGATTACTGCTGCTACCATCAGAGTCCTCATAATTTTTGTGCCCGTCGTTGAATATGGTCCGAATTTCACGGTCATCCTACCTGCTAGCTGCACTAAGGGCCGAAGCCAGTGTGACCTGAACTCTTGGGTGGAAGCCGATGGGCCGTTGCCAAAAGGAGTACAGTCCTTCAAGGTTTGGAGTCTAGGCTTCAGGCTTTAGGCTTAGGGTTTAGGGTTTAGGGTTTAGGGTTCATGGTTTAGGGTTTAGGGTGTAGGGTTTAGGCACTGAGTTTAGATGGTCGAAGGCAGGTTTTCAGGAAGCAGTACAGGCGGTTGCAGGCTACAGGGTCTGCAGCTGCGTCTTTGGCATTATAAGACACGAAGGCGTGATCACCCTGAATAATGATGTGGAGTTGTTCGGAAATGGGTCATCATGTTGGCAGCCATTCTTGAAGTGACAGGCGAGCAAATCACAGGTTTGAAGCCATCCTTTTAATCACATGCACATTGGTGTGCATTCAGGCCCTGAGCAGTTGAATTGTCTGTTCGGCGATGGTGTACGGTAAATATCACTCTCTTGTGCAAATCGTTGCTGCTGCTTTCTCACTGACCAGTCTTAGCAATGCAAGGCGAAAGCCAAGGTCACTAACAGACTAACAGCCTGAGACCCCTTAGTTTTTTACTGACTGGCACGCCGAGAGCACGGGCCATATTCATACTCAGACCCCTTAGGTTCTTGAATGAGTGGCACGAGAGCATGGGGGCCATGATTCTTGCAAGCCATTTCGCGCAGCCTCAAAGATCGCATGCACTTCTCATGGGCAACAGTTTCTCGATGTCAGTCGGCAGTGGACACAAGCTAGTTCCGGGATCGATGAGGCAATAAAGGTGCTATACCCCAAAACCCTGCATCAATTGTTCTTAGGCCCCTACATGCCCATTCACCAGGCGGGCGAGGTTCCAATTCAATTTTCCCACTCCAGCGAGAATGGGGCTTTGACAGACCCACATGAGGTTCGGGCACACTGGTTCGTAGTCATTTTAAAATGAGACTATCCTGGTCCACGTGGGGGGGTCCTTTGTTTCTGAAACGAACTCTTACCCAGCTTGACAGGTTGTTCTCCTCGGTTAGGGTTCCCTGTCCAAACCACAGTAAGCTCCTATGCCATGATTGGCCACCTCTCGTATGTCTGCGAACGAGCAGGCCTTTGTGCATTTTTTCTGCTCGTTGCTGGAAAGACTGCGATAATTCAGCACATGCACTGTGATCATATAGCGGACTGCTGAGCATTTGGCGCGGTCTTCGGGTATAGTGTTGGAGATGTCTCAAGGATTCCCACGCTGGTTTCCGGACGATGAAGTATTGCATGCACGGGCAGTCACGTTCAGCAGATACTGAAGCTTGTGATCCAGTTGTCTCTTTCGGCTCAGAACCAGGGTCCGTGGTACCAAGATGCTCGCGGTTGGACATTGGGCGGTTGTCTTGCTGGTGGTCGCAGCGGATGAGGACTGTTCACTGCTGGTGGTGAATTCCACGATGGGCCATCGCATGTATACGAAAGATTGGTATTGTGCAGAAGAAGCCGGAGACCCTGGGACGACCCTCTGGGACAATGTGCTGGAGTTTAAAGGAACGAGGGGGTCAACCTTGCACTCCGTGCGTTTTTTTCCCACATGGTATGCCTTTACACCAGGTCAGCCGATCCGGAAGGACTGTGTTACATGGGGCGATCGGACATACCTGACCTTCAGGGTGGGCAGGCGGTCATCTGACGATGTGCGCGATGAGTTTATGTCTGGCACAACCAAAAGAAGCATCTTGTTGAGTCGGGCCTCGGCAGTGATCGGTAGCTCAGACCCAACCTTCAGATAGATGTACTGTGATGTACTGGTTACGAAGAAGATGTTGGGGTACACAGAAACTTTCCAAGGGCTTAATGTTCAGGCCGCGGTTGGGCAGTTTCCCAACAACTGAACGACCATATCGACAGTAACCCCATGTTTCCGTGTTGCCCTTTCTGGTGGATGTTCAACATACCCAGATCCACGTGGTGTCGTGACCATCAGCCAATAAACCATACTATACTATACTGTACTATACTATACTATACTCTCAAAGACTGGGATTCTCTTACACCAAGGTGACTATATCCCTAAGAAGTTGAACTTCGCTTTCGAGGGCCTTGCCATCTTCCTCTTTCGGCGTGGGGCCGGCTTCGTGAGACGTGAGGCCCACAAAAAAAAACCTGTATTGAGTTTAGGGTTTATAGGCTTTAGGCTCCAACGGCCCTCCAAAAGATGGAAGGAATGAATGGGATGACCAAGTAGCTGTTGTACGATATCCAGCTGCTTGCTACCGCAAGCCTGTTCAAGCAGGGGCAAGAATAGAAGGTGGGTTTTCTCGCTGCAGGTACGGAGCGGAGTAAGAAAACTCATGAGCTGGGAAGATCGTTACCAGACATAGATAACATGGGATGACGTATGGTATAGTACATAGTACATAGTACATAG